TNNACACCCCTAAGTGGTATTTTTGCAAATGTGCACATAAAAAATGATATTTTTGTAATTTCCCCTTCAAAAATCAATTGTATTTTTCTTTTTTCGTAAATTTAATTTTGCACATTGATTTGTCATTGGTTGAATTATATTGAGAAAATATCAAATTGTGTTATGAAGTTTAAAACAAAATAAAAAATAATAGTTTTTTTCAGTTTATGTGTAACAATCTTAAACATTATATAGAATAAAAAAAGAAATATTAAACACAGTAGATATGCTAGAGCCTAGAAACCATAAGGTGGAGCTATTCGTAGAAATAAGACTATCATTCACAATTAGGATGTGTTATTTTGGTTAAGTCAATTGGAGTTTGTTTAACCATTTTGTAAACACTTATTTGAAAATCAAATAAATAGCAATTGGGTTTCACTTTTCTTTGTGAACATAAGTAAAAAATTAATTCAAACTCTTATCTTTTTCACATAATTTTTTTAGAAGTTATTCAACCCTATCTAGTATCTACATCTTAAAAAAATGAATTTATTATAAAAAATCTAATAAATAACAGAAACCAAAATCAGAAACGAATCTACTCTTATTTACAACTTTGAAGACAAAGCATTTGTTTCCATTTATGGGCGGGTCCTAGAGTTTTGCAGATATGTCCTCCTCATAAAAAAAGGACACTCATATAAAGTGAGATAGAATATGGTGTATTTGTTGATTTAAAATAATGTTTTTTCAATAAAGATTTAAAATAATGTTTTGCACACAAAAAAAGAAAGAAAAAGATTTAAAATAATGTTACAATGAAGTCAAATTGTTGGGACACCAAATTACATAAACATGTCTTACTGAACAATTTTACCTATATGAAGATTTTTATCTACCTCTTTTATGAGGTGTTGTTTACCCATTTATGAATTGTTTTCTTTCAAATATACCTCCTTAATCAAGTTTAGAGAAAATGAGTTTTGAATCAAGGTGCGTGACGCTTTCGTTCTAGATTGTCATTGAATATAGTTATGTTACGTGAAGAATGCAAAGATATCAATTAGGCTTGGGCATAAATACTCGTTAGTCGGCTTGTACTCGGCATGTACTCGGCTTGCTTGAAAAATCAAGTACTTGTCCCGGTCAAGCCGAGTAGTAAGTCAAAATATTATATTACTTGCAAGTCTAAATCAAGTATCAAGCCAACAAATTTTTTTTACTACTTGACTTGTTACTCGGTTTGATACTTGTTTACATTATTTGCCTTGATATTTGTTAATAATTACTTGTTAATACATGAAACTATGAACAAATTATTTCTTGGGACTTTAATGTTTTGTGATTTTATGATGTTTGAACTTGAATGTTTTGTAAGAATTTTGAATGTTTTGTAATTTGTATGAAGATTTTTTTTATTTTCAAGTACTTTCAAGTAGCAAATATATGATTTTGGCAAGTAACAAGCCGAGTCAAGTTACTTGCAAGTCACATGATTTTGGACGAGTACTTGATTGAGCAAGTACTTACTTCGAACGAGTCAAGTATCAAGCCAAAATTTTTGTTACTTGAACAAGCCAAACCGAGTCACAAGTACTTGAAAATTAGCAAGTACTCGGCTTGTGCCCAAGCCTAATATCAATGAATGTTATTGTTACGTATGAATTAAAATTTTGATAGAAGAGAAGAAAACACCAAAT